ATATATATATATATATATATATATATATATATATATAAAGTGTTTATATTTGTCTCTTTTTGGCACCAGTTCCTGTAATCTTTTCTATGGCCATCTGAAGGTTCTTCATATTTAGCACTTCTAGGTGGGTCAGATTCCTGCTTCACGTCACATGCTTGTACTTGGTTCAATCCCCTATTTAAAGCTGATTCAGTGAGAATTCAAGCCATGGGTGGCCCTGGCGGCACCCCACACTTGACAAAGGTACATTTTTCAATTTGTCTGATCATTTTAGGTTGAGCAGCACCTGCATCCCATCAAAGTATCAGGTATACAATAGCCAACAAAATGCTGTGTGGTGTCAATAGGGAAATTGATGGACTTCTCCAAACCTTTATGGCCAGTCTTAGGCCTCATGCACACTAGCGGGCTGCATTTAAGCCCAACAGAAGTTATCTGGTAACTATAAACAACTTTATGCTTCCCAGATCACTTTTTTCCGTGCTGGGCTTAGTGGCATTTATACAAGTTTACATGCTCTTACCCGCATAAAGTGTAGCTAGTCGGACCCGGAACGCAGACATTTCTATTTTGGGTAAACTGACCTAAACTGAAGGCACGTAGATGCTGCTGGACGCCTAGGTGTGCATTCACTCATAGAAATGCAGTACATTAGACCAGGTGCATTTAGAAATGAGCTCCAAACGCACCTGAACTCAATGTTTTGATTTGTAGTGTGCATGAGGCCTTACTACTCTGTCCTGTAGTAATGTAGGAACCACTACATGCAATGAAGTGTCATACACCTGACACACCCAGAAGAGTGCCTGATGTGAAGATTCTTCTGGCCACCATAGCTCTCAAACAGAATAAAGATTTCAGGAATGGAAAACAGGAAAACAGTGTATATACAATTGGAGAACACTTTTATTTTATCTTTTTTTTCTTTCTTTCTTTTTCTTAATTCATGACAGAGGTGCTTTAACTATTTGATTTCTCAGGACAATACCTCTAGAGGTGCCCGTACACTGCCCGATTCTCGTACGAGAATCGCGGGAAATCCCGCGACCGTACGAGAATCGTGCAGTGTGAATGAAGACGTGCGACCGTTTCTACTGTATGGTCGCACGTCTTTTGTCTAAGGAGCACGCTAGAAAACCAGCCGAAAATCTTACGATTTTCGGCTGGCTTTAACAGTGCTCGGGAGACAAATGCCGAACGGGCCGGTCTTGCGATGGTTGTAAAGTGTATGGCCACCTTAAGTCTATATATGTTTGTGTGTGTGTGTGTATACAGAATATACATATATACACATACATATACAATGTATATGTGTGAGGGAAGCTGAGGGATAGATTTCTATTGCTTTGTGCATAACTCATCAATATATGGAAGATAGAACTATATTAGTAGTCAGTGGCAGGACAGTAGTAAGGGATCATGCACTTTAAAAGATTGTCAGTCTGTCTGGCCCCAGAGTTTTTCAAAGGTCTGTCTTTGATCATATCCTGCAAACATTGTGTCAATCTTGTTCTCTCCTATCAGCCTGCAGCTATAGACTGACATAACTGAGCAATCGATCAGGAGCTGCAGCTAAACAGCAGCAGTCTCTTTCCAGTCTAAAGTGCTGTGTGTGAAAACAAATGACAAGTTATGGCAAGACATGTAAATGTACAGGAAGAAATAATTTACTTAATGAAAACTTGATTTTCCTGCAGTTACAATTCTCTAAGTGAGAAGTTCTGCAGAGTGTAAGTTTTAACCCTTTGTGAAAAATCCACCACATGATGTGATTATAATATAAAAGCTTCAAAAAGTTTTGTGCTGCGGTTATATGAACACACATACCTACTGGTGATTGTGTGCGGATGAAAACAAAACATGGTGGTAGAATGAAAAAAAGTACGGATGCACAGATACTTTTCGAGTACCAGTGCCGATACTTGGCATTTTCACGAGAACTACCAGGGTTGCAGCTGGGACCTGGCTCTGGCGCTCCAACACTGTCCTGAAATCATTAGTCTGTATTGTTTTAGAAAAACTGTCACATGACAATAAACAAAAATGTATCAGTACTCGTACCAGTTTTGCTAGTACGAGTACTGTTACTTGCCGAGTACTTACAAGTATGAGTACTGATACATTTTTGTTTATTGAGTACTGAGACATATCTTTGTCCTACAGATGTGGTGCCACTTACCATCAGCTAATGAGCACAGTGGGCATACATCCAACCTGTGCTGAGGAAGTGACTAAGCTGCACATCACCAAGAGCTCAGGACTGGACCCCACAGTCACTGGCTGCTGAGGTTAACTACCATCCCTGAGAAAGAAGTGCCATCTGTCTGCCTGCCTGCCTGCCTGCCTACCTGAAGAGGAGAGAGCCATCAGCATCATTCCGCTACATGTAATCACTTCGCTCAGAGCCATGTGATACATGTCAGGTCTTCTGGAATCAAAGGAATTATTTCTAATTCATCGTGAGAGGCTTCTGCCAGCAGTAAATTACATCTGAACCTTGGTGCACATTTCATACCACACTCAAAGCATTCGTGACATGTCTGAAGTTAAATCAGGTGGAAAGGAGTTGATAAGTCAGACGTCTCTGCTGACATCTTCTAATTCTGCAAACATCCAGGAGGTGGAACTGCAAGACCAGGAGATGCTGAGGCCACAGGTAAGCTGTGTAATGTAATCCAGCACCCCGCCTGCTCTATGCCTAGGGACAAACCATTACAGGAACTTCTTTCTATATTTAGAGTTCATTCATCATAAAGAGAGAGAATAGAAAATGAGTTGCCTCTTTACATTTCATCTGATATAGTATAAAACGCATACCTCCACTTTCCCAAAGCCAATCACTTTGCTGGATTACATTATTAGCTTTCATGTAGAAAACTCATTTTTCTGTCTGCATTTATTTACTGTCTTATCTTTCTTTCTCAGAAGGTTCTACCTTTTTGTGTTTGTTTTTTTTGTGTGTAAGTGCAGAAATGTATCTGATTTTTATCTCCAGCTGTCAGGATGTTTTACCTGTTTTCATGTTGCTTTGCAGCTCTGAATTGGAAGATCATTCTTTTTATGGACCAGGAATGCATTTAATAGCGTGTCTTCTGCCTTGGATGTTAGGCAATCTTATTTACTATATATGCTGACAGTACACTAGGAAACTTTGTTTACTAGCCTCTTCGCTGATAACACTGTCTTAATATTTGAAAGAAACATATCACTATAGCAGCATAGAAGGTTACAGGCCAAGTACCATCACATACAAACATTGCTGGCCACTTTTTTATCCATGCTAAAAGCATGGACAGCGGAATCTTCTCCCACACTGTATTCTGACAGTGGCAAGTGTGCCACTGTCATACATCCAATGGGGCCACACACGATAGCACCTTAACATATCATATTAGCCAATTTATATATCGCTTTTTTATGTGAACACAGTTACACTTGTCTAAACAGATTTAGCCCTAAATAGAGATGTAACAAAGTGTCCACTGCTTATTTGGTGGAGTTAAAGGAGAACTATGGGGTAAGTGAATTACACTCATCCCCATAATTAGAGCTGATGCTTGACATTGAAACTGTCACATGTCAGCTCTATTGATCGGAAAGTGAGCGAAAACATACCGCCGATTGCTCACTTCCCAATCATCTCCCTACAGAGAGCAGTGACTGGCAGTCACCGCTCCCCGCAGGGATTCCTCCCCTCTCCGATCCTCCAGCGCTGACTGGAGGAATGGACAGGGGAGGGGGCGGGCATAGCTGGCTCTGACTCTAAATAGGCAGTGTCCGCTGTCAATCCGTATCAGCTGTAGCGCTCTCAGCACATAGCGGGCAATTGCCCGCTATATACTGAGTTTTGATTCACGGGAGGATGTTAGTATATGTTCTCCCATAACCCTAAAGAAAACTATGGGATAAAAAGGTTACCCCTTAGTTCTCTTTTAAATAAGTTATTAGAATATTTTCAGCTATTGTTGCAGTGCTACCCTAAAGTAGATGCAAACCCTAATTTATAGACACTTAGTTTGTTAAAGTAATTTGGTAAAAAATGAATGAAAAATGAATTACCCGCTAAAATCGAGCCGTTCATCCACACACACGTCCAGTGCAGCCCTGCTCTATGGATTTTGAATTTCGCTCACAAAATGCTCAGGTCAGGTGACCACGCTGACCAATGAGTGCTCGCAAATTCCATAGCGCAAGGCTGCGCTGGACAGCAGTACGAGGTACGGATAGTACACCCGTGCCAGCAGAGCAGAAGGAACGTTCTCCAAAAAGTAAGTAAAGTGAGGGGGAGGGGGACAGATTTGAGCGGGTACTTCCATTTTCACAAATTACTTGGGAAAGTGAGCTTACGCTTTAAAGCACTTTGTATCACAAACAATTTCATTTTTATTCCTGAAAATACCTTTTCACCTTCATCATTCTTTTTTTGCATCTCAGTGCTGCTGATCTCTTTCAACCTTTTGCAGCCAGTTCCTGTTAACCTGCACCTGCTCCAGTATCAGCTGTTACTATCATTACTCTAGAATGGCTTCATGATAGTTACAAAAGTGAACCATGCCTGTGCAGTGTGTGTTGGAACAGCCTCTTGAAGTCTCCATCAGGGGAGCATGTGACACGGTAGTAATGCAGGCACACAATTGGAAAACATTTGCCACCACATAACAGGAAGTGTCTGAGCAAGGGTCTTCATGGCAGGATCACCAGGTATTGTTTTAAAGAGACCCTGTCATCACATCATTCATTTCAACAAAAATCTTATCAGATTATATGTATATTTAACATATTAATGCATGTTAGTTGCCTGTAAAAGCCTTACTTATGTAGACATCCAATAGCCCTGAGACTTCTGCTGGGCGCCACGATTTTGGATGTGATATCAGCTGTCCCAGCAGTTTTAGAGCTGTCATTTAAAAAAGTATTGCTACA